TGGTTTCTAAAATTAAACCTAATTGAGAATTCATATGATATTTTTATTGAAAAAACTGATAGTGCTATAAGAATTTATTTATCATAAACTATTAATACAAATCTGGTTTAGCAGTTGGGTTATATTTGAATTGCTAATATAAATCAATAATTTGTTCAATTGTTAGTGAGACATTTCTATGAAATAAAGGATAGAAATTTAAATACCTTCAAAAAATATTACTAACAATATAATCATTTATAAACATAAATTAAAGTTTATAATTATAATTGTTTTTCTAAATAATGAATTCCAACAACTTAATTTTTATTTATGTTAAAATACTGCTTATATTCAAAATTTTATTTACATGCTTATAAACATAATTCATATTTTTATATAGGTATGGTTTTTAAAACTACATTTAGTATAATAACACATTTTATTAAATTCATAAGTAATATTAAAATGTTATATAACTTAAATACATTTATTGTATAATCTTGGAAACTTCTTTGTTAGTCATTACTATATGACAGGGGTGGCCAGCAAGAAGAAACTTGCAAGCCGCCCAATATATTAATAAATTTGGAAGAGCCAAAATATAAAAAAGTTCAAATTACTGTATGTATATGGCTATTATACAAAGAAGATAATAAGATATCAATTGTAATAAAATGTTTAAAATGCAAAACAATCTACCTATATGGTATTAATTAATAATTAAAAATAAATACATATTTAAATATTTTATCAAAAACACTATTTTTTTTGTAATTTTTTTCTATAAATTGAAATTTAATAAAATATTATACTTCTTCAAAATTCAAATACATAAATTTATAAGTTCATATTGAAAATAATTTTTTTTTGTAATAATATTTGTATCACATGATAAGATGTAAGCCATATGAGTCTATGATGGGAGCCACAGTTTGGGCACCCTTGCTATATGATTAATTTATTTTTGTTTTCATTTTTAGGACAAATTAATTGATCCTAAAACTGTAACTCATTTATTCCGGATTACAAAAAATATTGGATGTGTTATGACTGGAATGACAGGTGAATGAATAATTTATTTTGTTCTAATTGTTATGTGCGATACTTTCATTTTTCAAAACTACAAATGTATATTATAATACAAAATTATTTTTGTTTTTTAAGCTGATGGTCATTCTCAAGTGTATAGAGCTAGAGCTGAAGCATGTGAATATAAATATAAAAATGGTTTTGAAATGCCTGTGGAAACATTGTGTAGTCGTATGGCTGATATTTCTCAAGTTTACACACAAAATGCTGAAATGAGACCACTTGGATGCAGTTAGTAAAAAATTGAAAATATTAAAAAATAATGTTAAATGTATGCAAATACTGTATACTACTTATATTATATTTTTCATCTCAAGGTATGATATTAATTGGGACTGATGATAGAAAAGGACCTATGGTGTACAAGACAGATCCTGCAGGTTACTATTGTTCATTCCATGCTATTTCAGTTGGAACAAAACAAACAGAAGCTAATTCTTATTTAGAAAAAAAATTGAAAAAAAAGAAGGAATACTCTAAAGATGAGGCTATTGAAGTAATGATTTTTTAATTATTTCCTGAAAACATTTTGAAATTTTATTCATCTCCTTAATTTCTTTTTTTTATACATTTTAGTTGGCTATATCATGTTTGTCACACGTTCTAGCTGTTGATTTTAAACCTAGTGATATTGAAGTCGGTATTGTAACAACAGAGAACAAGGAATTTGTGTAAGTTTAATTGTGCTTCCAAAAATATATATATATAACTCACTAATTTTTAACTGTGCATGATAAATGTATGTTTTAATACTACATCATGCACTAGTATATAATATGATATATCAATTGTTTTAAGATATTCTACTTTTACTCTCAATATGGTTATATTTATACAAAGAATTTATTTTTAAATTGATAATCAATATTTTAAAAAGTGCTGATGAAATCCTTTTTTATATCATTTTTTGCTTTTCAACTCTAATTGCTATTTCATTCAATTTCAAATCAACCATTAACCTAATTCCATCTTAAGATTTATTAATTCCCAAAACCACTATTTGCAGTGGTAACTAATTTATTGACATCAAAATTTAATTTTTGATGCTCGATGATAATCCTTGTATTATAAATGTATAATTCATTAAAAATATAAAATCCTTGTGATATTTGTTTCATTTCATGATTTTTATTTTTAATGGTATACATTGAAAAATGCCAAAAAAAGTTCTTGTTATAACTTGGAGTTAATATTTTTATTTGAATAAGTTATTTCAATAATTGATAACTTTGTAATATTTTATCAAGTTTTCACTATCAAAATTGATATATGTATAAATATTCTAAGTTCTATGCTTGAAAATTTACTGTTGAGTATTTCAAAATCATATTTTACATATTTGATTATTTTCCATCATTTTAACTTTAAAATAATTAAACGTGGAAATTTATATGAATTTATTATTTTTAAGAGGATGTTATACCTGCATAATTGCATGTGTTGTTTTATAAACGACGAAAAACATTACTAATTTTATATTCAAAATAAAATATGTTCTTTAGAATGTTAGTTTGCTTAAATATTCCTTAGTAAGATGCAATCCATTTATACGTGTACAATGTCTTAAATAAAATGTATATTTTAAGGAACCAAAATATTCAGTATTATAATATTAAGATAGTGTCATACTTGCATGTCTTATTTACACATACCTAAATGCATGTGCATTAGTTTTTCTAGTTAACTTTAATATTAAAGTAAATTGTCCCATTAATAAATTTAAGTATAAGAATATCGTCTGTATTTTTTCTCTGATCTTTACAATACTTTAATTTTCTTATATTTAAACACAAATAATGTGTTTATCTTTAAATTTTTTAATGGTTCAATTCACTGTAATATTAAAATTACCACAGAAACTTACTGAATATGTATTTAGTAAGTGATGTATTAATAAAACGGTGTAACATAATATGTAGATACAACATCCTCTTTATCTAATTAAGTATACGTTTTTATTTACATGTATTTTTATATTTTTTTAACAGGGTTTTAAGCGAACAAGAAGTTGATCGTCATTTAACTCAAATTGCTCAGAGAGATTAAGCAAGTACATAAAAAAAAAAAATCTTAAGGTATAATTATATTATATTGTTCGTCATGTAATACTTTAAAAATAAATAACAATAAAAACAATAATTTATGATTTTTTATGGTGAATGTTTTCCTTTCTAATAGATTAACGTGTTTTTTTTTTTTTTTTTTACTCAATAAAAGTATTTTTTATTTATAATTATAAATATTCATTTGTATATGCTGGCTTTTTATTATCAACCAAACAATTTTCTTTAATATTTATAATATTAAACTTTGGTTGTTAGTGTTTTATTTTATAAACCTATCAAACATTAAAATAAAAACTTAAAAATAATTTGCCATTCATAGTTTATATAATTTTAAGTTTTTATTAAAAATTTAACAAGATGATATCAGAAAGAGACTCGGAAAGCAATGATAGATCTAGTACTCGTTCTGGGATGAGTCGACAATCATCAATGCTCGGAAATCCGACCGAAAAAGTTGTTTGTGTTGCAAACGATGATTCAATAAACATAGAATTTGTGTATTATACTGCGATGTTAAAAAAGTTTGCACCTAACTTAAGTAAAGAAAAAGATAAAGAGAAGGTAATACCTTGGATCAGGAAACTGTATGCTGCAGAATATGCAACAGAGTTTTTTAAAATTAAACGCAACAGATATCTTTTTAACATGATTCTATCAATTCTTAATGATGAAATGTATGGTGTATTCAAGTCAATTCCCCCTATTGGCCCTTTAAAATCACCTGAAAGTTTTACTGTACCTACTATTCCATTGGCTACGTGGGAAGTTGATAACATGTGGGAAGAAATGTTAAAGGATGAAGAAAATAGTCCATCTATCTGTAGCATACATGATAAGTGTCCCGACGAAGAAGAAGAAGGCGATGATGATGAGTCAGTTATTGATACAACAAACATGTCTGCAGAAGATAGAGACCAGTTAGCTGAAGATCCAAATTTCAAAAAAAGATGGTCCAAAAACTAATAAGAATAAAAAAGCTTTGTTTAGTTCATTACTCGATTGGGAATTTCAATATTTACTTCATATTGCTCGACCTTACGCTGCTCTTATGACTACAGTACAAGATAAGACCAGAGTAGCGAAATGGTTACAGAAGTTGTGCAGTGTACGTATGGACATCTCATGCACACAAATGAAAGGCGTAAGAAACGATTACATGATGGCACTATTGGGCTACTTATACGATTTGCGGCTAACTGGTCCATTTGAACACCCTCCACCCGATGGACCACTAGAAAATTTAGGAAATGCTATGGAAAAATTAAAAGACGAATATCCATTAACTGTACCCACTCAGTATGATGTTAATGAGTTTTTGTCTGACCAACCAACACCAGCCGAAGGAGGCGCCTTTTGTTACATCGCCATAAGTGGTGATTTACAAGCAACAAATTTGATAAAATCAAAACCAGTGCAAACAAAAGACTGTCAAAAATAATATGACGAGTACGATGAGAATAGTTATTAGATAATAAACATATTAAATTGAATATACAACGTTAATTAAAACAGTGCCTTTTTTATTTATAATGGTTTGTGATAAATTTATAAATTTTAGTAAATTTAAATACAATGATTTATGTCTATTAAGCGCAATCAACTGTCTTGAGGTATCTAAATATCTTACAAAAATTTTTAGAAAGAAACAATTATTCCAAATTTTATAACATAATGCTTACAGAAAATTTTACATGAGGTGTGAGGCAATCAGGTACAATGATGATTTAAATACAATATTAAAATAATAAAATTGTTACCTAATTTTGCTTTATTTTTTTTAACAAATTATATTAACAATACAACATTAACACAGATTTTAATTTAAAACATACATGGAATTTATTTATTTGTCCTACAATTTTATTTTTAATTAAATTGAGTAGGCCAAATTGCACCTAAATATTAAATCAGATTTTGTTTGTTATATGAATATAATAGATTTGAGTAAGGTTTAAACACCTAATAACTTTTTAGCAGCATCCACAATATTATTTGTTTGTGGCAATGCAGCAATTTCTAATGATTTGGTGTATGGCATTGGAACATCTGCACCTGTTACTCTAATAACTGGTGCGTCTAAGTGATAGAAAGCCTCGCCTAAAATTAATAAAAAATAATTTATTTAAATTAATTTCAAGAAATATGATTTTAATATTTGTGGTTTTATATCTTACTCTCCATTATTTGAGCTGATATTTCTGATCCAATACCAGCATATGGCCATCCTTGTTCTATAGATATAATATGATTTGTCCGAACCACTGACTGTATAATTGTATTAATATCAAGTGGTCTTAATGAACGTAAATTTATAACTTCTGCTTCAATTCCAACCGAAGATAACTCTTTTGCTGCATCCAAAGCTAACTCAACTCCTTTGGAGTGTGCTACGAATGTAATATGGTCACCTAAATATAAAATCAATGAACAAATAAAACTATCAATAATTCTTTCTAAAAATATGTTTAAGTTATACCTTTTCTTTCAATTTTTGCTTTTCCAATAGGTAACACAAAATCTTTTTCCAATACTTCATCTGTTATAGGATATTGGTTACCATATAATAATTCATTCTCTAAGAACACAACTGGATCTGGATCTCTTATTGCTGCTTTTAACAATCCTCTAGCATCCTCAGAATTGTACGGTGAAATAACCTGAAATTAATATTACATATATTAATAGGTAACAATATGTATAAAAAAAAACCTACAAAATCTTCTAAATAAATAAATATCAAGACAAACAGGCAATAATTTTTATATATTGATTTACTTTTAAACCTGGACATTGACTGTACCAAGCTCCAAAACATTGAGAATGTTGAGCAGCCACACCAGATGCTGCTCCATTAGGTCCTCTGAACACAATTGGTACATTTACCTAAAATTATAAATTTATTAAATAAAGACTAATTTAATATAACAAGGTCTACTTTAAAATTCTATTAACGTAGTATTTTATTTTTATAGCACATAATAAAGAAAAAAAAAGACACCTTTTGTTATAAAATAAAATATTTCATGGGTTTTGATTGATTTTTAAGTAAAATAATAACATATATTATGAACAGTAATATTTTTAAGAATATAATATTTCATTCAGGTACTTTATTTATTATAGTGTTAAAGAATTTAAAAAATACAATTTTTTGATACCAATTAGAATTATTTTATTTTAAGCAAGCTCAAAAATAAAAATATTTTGATTTATTAAATGTATATTGCCTAATGCCTACATTGAGATGGTTTAGCAAAAAAAAAAAAAAAAAAACAATAAAATGTCCAATTAAAATATTAAGTATTTTGCAAAAATATAAAATTATTAGTTTTATTACCATGCCAGCAGACATATAAAAAGTTTTTGCAGCAGAATTAATAACATGATCAATAGCTTGCAATGAAAAGTTGAATGTCATGAATTCACAGATTGGTCTTAATCCAGCCTAAAAACAATACAATAGATAAATTAGGCACTTTTCTATACCAGACA